AAGAGAGAGATCGATTCCCTGTTGGGGTGGCTAAGGAGATTGAGAAATTACAATCGGCTTCTTGTGGGGTGGATCAGATCTCAGAAGAAAAGTGCATTTAGTCCGATGGGAGGAAATTGCAAAGAATAAGAATCTAGGTGGTTTGGGGCTGAGGAGGAATTAAATTAGAACATTCAATGACTGCTTGTTGTTAAAATGGTGGTGGAGGTTTGGAGCTGAGAACCACACACTCTGGAAAGAAGTGTTATGCGCAAAATATAATGTTCATTATGGGAAATGGTTACCAACTTTGGGAGAGGTTCTAAGATCTGGACTGATATAATTAATGTAGCTTTGTTGAATCCGGACTTGCATAATTTCTTTATCCATAATTCTCAGATAGCTTTGGGTGATGGGAGTAGAGTTCACTTCTGGTTGGACAAGTGGATTGGCAACGTGTGTTTAAAGGAGGAATTCCCTAGACTCTTCTCTCTATCTAATAATAAGCATGGGGTGGTAAGGGTGTTTTTTGAGAATAGGGGTGTAGCTGATGAGTGGAACCTTGAGTTTAGAAGAACCTTGTTGGCTTGGGAGGAGGAGGAAGTACGTAGATTAGTTTGTTTGCTCAGACGTGCACCGGATCTTTGCAGTGAAAAACCAGATGTATTGAAATGGGCAACAGAGTCATCTGGACTGTTTAGTGTAGCATCAGCATATAAATGGAGTGAATCCCTTCTTGGTCCGGTTATGGCAATGGCAGGCTCTATATGGAATAATTTTGCTCCTCCTAAAGTATAATTTTTTGGATGGTTGGCATGGCTTGGTAAGGTCAAAACTTCCTGGTTCCTTCACAGAATTGGTATACTTGATGGGGGTGCCAATCTTGAATGTGTGTTTTGCCATAATGGTGTTGAAACTGTGGAGCATATTCTTCTTGTATGTCCTTTTGTTTGGAGGCTTTGGTCAAACATTGTGCGATGGTGGGGCTTTCAATGGGTCATGCCAGGTTCTGTAGATGGACTGCTGCAGTGGTGGTATGGGTGTAGTATGTCAAAATTGGAGAAAAAAATCTGGATGGTCATTCCTATGGCAACTCTTTGGTCTCTTTAGAGGCATAGGAACGAGTGTGTTTTCAATAGACTACAACCAGATTTTGAAGCTCTATGCAACATTGTGAAAGTTCAAGTAGCTTTGTGGACTAAGGCATCGCCATTACAGGTGGCAGCTTCTGTAAATGATTTGGTGTACAACTTGCAGCAGGTCAAGTTCTGTCTGAGATGGGGTGGTTGAGTGTGTTTCTGTTATGGGTATTTATCTCAGAAAAAATGTTGTCTGCTCTGGTGTTAAGCTTGCTGGGTCTCTATTTTGGTATGGGTATTTGCAGATTTTTTTCTACTACTTCTGCAGATTTTTTCTTCTGTTGTGCTGCTGGAGCTTTCTGGTTGTTGTCTACTTCTGCAGATTTTATTCTACTCTGTTTGCTCTGCTGGTTTGTGAGGTGCAGGGGGCTGCAGATACTACACTAAGGCCTCGTTTGGGAAAAGACTAATTTAGTAACTTTTTGGCTATTTGGCTAAAATATGAGCTAAAAAAAACTAGTATGTTTGGGATGACTTTTTGGCTTTTTACGAAAAGATATGCAAAAAGTAGAGAAAAAAGAGAATCTTTGACTTTTTGGTATGGGTTGTTGGCTTTTTGGCATTTTTAGTAACTTTTTGACTTTTTGGCTAAACTGGTCCTTCCCAAACGAGGCCTAAGGAATCTAAGGGTAGGGTTGATAGTCACAAAGTTGATGCAGTTGACACAACAGGTGTAGGTGATGCTTTTGTTGCTGGATTGCTGAATAGTTTGGCTTCAGACCCTACTTTGTACAAGGAGGAAGAGAAATTAAGGGAAGCTCTTGTCTTTGCGAATGGCTGTGGTGCTCTCACAGTGATGGAGAAAGGAGCGAAGGTGGAGGGTGGAAGGCTGTTGCTGAGTGGTGGCTGTTGCTAGTGTCACATTGTTCAAGGATCATGCCCTGAGTGGTGGCTGTTGCTCCTCTTCTGGCTGTGATCTGTGTTGCTGTGGTCTGAAAGGTGGCTCTCCATCCTCTCCCATCTGCTGCTATGTGTTCTGTCCCAGCTGCCGTGGGAGTTTTGTTTTGCTGATACATTTTTAACTCTGGATGCTTGCTGCTATATGACTATATTTGGGGTGTTGGGCTAGTAGTAGTTCTCAATCTGCGGTGGTTGGTTGGTTCTTCTTCTTCTTTTTTCTTTTCTCCGTTGGTCTCTCACCAACTTTGGGGTGCTAGCAGATGATAGGGGGAGCTCTGTGGTGCCAACCTAGTTGGGATCATTTAGCTCTCTGTGATGCTTTCGCACTTCTCTTTCCTTTATTGATGTATTTTATCTTGTACCTTGTACTTGTTCATTTCATCAATAAAGTTTATTTTTTGCCGATCAAAAAAAAAAGACCACGTCAGAGGGAGATCAGGGTGGAACACTATTCATACAAGAGAAGGGTTGAAATACTTTTGAGGTAGGTTTTGTTCTTGCTTTAAGGATTTCTTGCAATATTTATTGATTCGTATCATGGGTTCTTGAGTTCATGAGTTGCATGTTTCGTTTCATTTTGTCAACTTGTTTTTATCAGTTTTCGTTAACTTCTTGATGTAAATATAAACTTATGTTTAAATCAATTTTGGAAGTACTTTTCTTAGAAAAATAATTCAGAAATACAAAATACATAACAAGGTGCATATGGTATATTGGGTTGAGATTCTGTGTTCAATTTAGTGCTTTTATTAGTTTTAGAGCATGAGATACATGATTCTAAGTTGATAAATTTTCTGAGCCATATATCATTATTTTGGTTGCAGTATGGTCTTCTTGATTAGGCCCAATCATTGTATAGAAATATCGTTATTTGATTGTTTGATTTGTTGGGAATAAATTAGCCAAAAAGCTATGAAACTCTTATTAAAATATAACCTCATATATCAATGGAAGTAATTCCCAAAATAAATCAATAAAAATTATATAAAATAAATGGATAATATTTAACGAATTCAGTTTAAATGTTTATATTGACAAAAATGAGATAATTTCATTAGATATATAAAATGGAAACTAGTGTAAGATTATCAGAAAATACTCACACTTACTATGATATTTTACATTTCAAGTCTCACCTACCGAATACCTACTTATTAAAAAAATAATAATAAATCAAGTGAAACAAATATTTAAACATATTTCTATTTTAAATTGAAGAAATTACACTACAATGGTGTTAGAAAAAAAAAATTACAAAAAAAAGTGATAAAGATTATAAATATTAACAATTAAAATGATAATTTTTTTTACCAATATGTAATAATTTTTCAAAATTTATCCTGAACAGTAATTTTCCCTTTTAAATTCACTTAACAGTACTAGATCAAGATTAAGATTGTTGTGTAATAAATAATTAGGAAATTAATTAAAATTAACAGACATGAGATCCCGTGCTAGTCACTTACTTGGGCAGACGCCACTACGCTGACTTTTTTATTTTATTTTATTTTATTGTTTTTGGACAAATTACCTACTTCAGGTTTAGCTAAATTACAGTTTTTTTTTTTAAAATTTCAAAAATTACATCTCAACCCATCACAATTAATGTCGTTAATAGAGATCATAAATTGACTAAAATTCTTTTTAACAAATAAGGGTAAATTACCTACCCCCCTTTGAGGTTTAATTAAATTACAAATTCCTCCCTGAAATTTAGCTAAATTATCATTTTTAAATAAGTTATGAAATGCAAAATTAAAATAGAAAAATACTTACACTACAAGAAAATGCACTTTTGGCTACTAAAGTTTTAGTCGCCAAAAGTAAGGTTTTTAGTCGCCGAGGCCTTTTCCCGACTAAATATTTTGGTCGCTAGATTTGTTGCAGAAAACGGTCGGGGAAGGTTTTGGTGACTAAAAAAAATTTAGTCGCCAAAAGTCATATAAATGGCCACTAATGTTTTGGTAGGAAAAAGTACGAGGTATTGGCGACTAAATATTTTTTAGTATCAAAAAGTCAGAAATTGGCGACTAAATATTTAGTTGCCAAAAATTTTCAAATAAAATTAATTTTTATTTTCAGTGACTAAAACTTTTAGTCGCATAAAGCATCATTTATTATTAGCTACTAAATATTTAGTCGCCAAAAAAAATTAATTTTCATATTTTTTTTTAGTTACTAAACTATTTAGTCGCCTAAAGTCACATGTATTTTTGACTACTAAATTTTTAGTCGCCAAAAAATCTTCGGTTTGCTTTTGGCTACTAAATTTTTAGTAGCCAACAAGTTTTATTTTATTTTTTTGGCTACTAAACATTTAGTCACCAAAAACTTTATGTAGTGTTATTTATTTTTTTTTATTATTATTAATTTCTGCACAACCTGTATTTATTTCGTACAACTTGCACCCTGTATATAAACAAAACAATACATATGTCTATTTCTATTTCACTTTCAACCATCCAAAAATTTGGTCTTGTAACATCAAATTCTATACAAACCAAATATAATCCAACCCAAAATAATAATTCCATACAAACAGATAATCATACAAAAATGATGTCCTCCGTATACAAAAAAGAAATATCCACTAGTAATCTACATTGTCAACGGGACGGGCCGGGCCCGACCAGGGCCCGGGCTTCGGGCTGCCCACGGGTCACGGGCCAATTTTGCACTATTGTCAATGTTAATGTTAATGTTAATATGTCAATGTGAATATTTTGTACAGATAAAATTATACAGATAAGAAAATATTTGAACAGATAGTCAAAAAAATTAAATAGATAAAATATTTGAACAGATAGTTAAAAAAATAAACAGATAAACAAATATTCAACAGATAGTTTAAGGGGTAAAATTGAAATCAAAACGTCTTCCAAAATAACAAAATATACTTCTTACCAAACTATTTCACAAAGTGTAAATTTCTCACCAACAAAACATTACTATTGGACCTAATGCCTTATGTAATAGCTAGATCGGATTTATCAACAATTTTCACCATTTTTTTATTACAAAATGTATGAATTTATTACAAAAAGTATTAATTTTTTCTCAACACGAAAAGTATAACTTTAATTAAAAAAATTAGTGTCTTTTACTATAAAAATCATAATTTTTTTTTTATTTATATAATGTGCACATGCACATAATAATATTTTTCTTCGTGTAATAAATTCCAATACTCATATATATATATATATATATATATCTAATGCAATACTAACAACAAAAGTAACACATTAAATAATAAGACGTGGTAAGTGTAGATTATTACTTATTAAATCCTAAAATGATTAAATATGGCTTTTGTTGTTGGTGGTGGGTGATTTGGTTCAGTAGATAGATAGAGGTGTGTTGGTGTGTGTGGGGGTGAACTGTTCAAATTTGACACCGATTAATCAAATGGCTGTGTTCATTCTTCTTTGTCTTGGAAAACAATTTGAATAAATAACTCAAAAAGGCTTAGTTATTGAACAAATAAAAAAAATTGTACAGATAAAATTATACAGATAAGAAAATATTTGAACAGATAGTCGAAAAAAATTAAATAGATAAAATATTTGAACAGATAGTTCAAAAAATAAACAAATAAGCAAATATTCAACAAATAGATTAAGGGTTAAAATTGAAATCAAAATGTCTTCCAAAATAACAAAATATACTTCTTACCAAACTATTTCACAAAGTGTAAATTTCTCACTAACAAAAAATATCTATTAGACCTAATGCCTTACGTAATAGCCAGATTAGATTTATCAACAATTTTCACTATTTTTTATTACAAAATGTATGAATTTATTACAAAAAGTATTAATTTTTTCTCAACACGAAAGTATGAATTTAATTATAAAAATTAGTGTCTTTTACTATAAAAATCATAATTTTTTTTTATAATGTGCACATGCACATAATAATATTTTTCTTCGTGTAATAAATTCCAATACTCATATATACTAATGCAATACTAACAACAAAAGTGACACATTAAATAATAAGGCGTGGTAAGTGTAGATTATTACTTAATAATAATAATAATAATGAGTTAACTCAGAACCATGATGATGAGTTAACTCGGCACTTAGGAGGTGAGTTAGCTTTGGGGAATGCTCAAACCAAGATGGAGGCCAGAGGAATGAAGCCACGTGGGGATGTTAGTGTAGCAACGGCAGACAAAGGGGAACTTCGGGAAAGCGATACAGCAGTGGCAGAGACATGCAGCAGTATGGGTAAGGAACTCGAGACAGTGGCCTGCAAAGCAATGGCAGCTGTTAACTCAGCATTCAATGACACAGGGGCTGTTGCTCAGGGACATGTTGGGCAGGTATACACGCCTGGCTTTATGAGAAGTTTGAGTGGTGCAAGTCTCAAGGGGCCGGGGATAAGCTTGGAAGTGGTTCTGGGCCATCATAAGCGGAATGATGAATTGGTTGAACCTCTTAAAGGGTCCAATGGGCCGGTGTTATATGATGCCCATACAAAGGACATGGTAATGGATGTTGGGCCTGTCACTAGAGAATCCAGTGTTTCTGAGACTCAGACTCAGGTTGCTAAACAAACTCACAAATCTGCAATCTTGAAAGGCAAAGGTAAGGAGCAGGCAAAAGAGAAACGGAAGACCAGCTACCTTCGACCACAAAAGAGAGTCTTAGGACTGGATAAGAGAGCCTGTCTGAAGGGTGCCTCAACAAGCAAATCAGCCCCTAAAAGATCCCTGTTTAGAGCATCAGTTGCTGAAGCTTCACTGCTAGCTTTAACCGAGCAAGGAGGGGAAGGTAGTCAGCATCTATTGGATGAGGCGCAAGCATGTTTGCAGATGGGCAAGTTGCTGGGTGTGGATATGCTGGGAAACGAAAAGGAGGTTCTTAATAAAATTGTGGAGCTTGAAGTCAAAGATATATGTAGGATGGATAGGGGCAATGGTGCAATAGACTAACATGTATACATTGAAGGGGTTTTTTCGGAGATTGTTATGTTCTCATGAAGATGCTTTCTTGGAATATTAGAGGAACTGGTAGGCAGGAAAAGAGGGGGAAAATAAGGAATATGCTGAAGGAAAGAAATGTGGATGTAGCTTTTTTTCAAGAAACTAAAAAATCGGTAGTAGCTGAAAAGGATGTGAGAGCAATGTGGGCTAGGAACAAAATGGAGTACACTGCTGTGGACTCAGACGGCCTAGCTGGAGGTCTTCTTTGCATATGGGATCCGGAGGTTTTTCACCTTAAGGACTGCTGTTGCACTAGAAGATTCATCCTCCTCTCTGGTACTCTCTTTAATTCTTTTGACTGTGTATTACTAAATATTTATGCTCCTAATGAGGTGGGAAATAGGGCCAAACTGTGGGACTGCTTATTAAAGCTAAAAAGGGAGTTTCCTAATCCTTGGTGTTTATGCGGAGATTTCAATGAGATAAA